TGGAGGGGTAGTGAACAAAATAGAGAAAGTGTCACATTTCTCACACTAGGGAAATTCAGGATTTTTGAAAATATTGCCTTACGAAATTAATAAATTAAGATCTTGTATACTATTAAAATATGGATTATTAGCTATGATTGTATGCTATACTAAAGGCTATAAAACAGAAGTTATTTCAGACTTTTCATGATGCAAGAAGTAGCATAGTGATTTCACTGTATTAAATTTTCATGAAATTATAAACATCTAGTTTGAAATTTCAGATTTTTCAAGATGTTCATTCTCTCCTGTTATGATACAGTGTAAGTAACTCTCTGTTCGTATGTGTGAGAATTACTTTCAACTCGTACTGACTACAACCTTCAATTTAAAGTAGCTATGTTCCTTCTACCCCCATGGTTCAAGTGTAGGATACAACTTTAGATTATAATCTAGTTAATAAAAACTTCACAACGTCTTACTTCAGACTAAAAGATATTACATTTGTATTTACAAATAAGTGTTCATGAATTAGGTAATTATCACCAGTTTAAAAAAAGTGACTAAACTATACCACTAAATGGATTGTCTTTATAAAGTTCACAGAGAGAGAGGGGCAAAATTTTATCTCACTTTTCCAGGTTCCAACTTTCTGTGACTTCAAGACCACTTAAAACTATAGCATTTCTAAAAGAAGGATTGTTATTAAACACAAACATTTAACATTTCACATAGCTTGTATTAGATCATAATCCTTACAAGACTAGATATATTTTAAGATATATATACAGATTTTTACAACGAGCATAATTTTGTAAAGAACTTTTACTTACTCTTTTACCAAGCCTGCCCACTGCTTATTTGCATAGTCCAAAATCTAACAGTAAAGTAAAATATTATTAAAAATAAAATTCATCACTCTACATTGACAGAATAACTTCCATACTCGAAAAATGTGTAAAATTAGGAAGTAAACCTAGCTACAACATAATAGGAACTTGTTGAAATAGTATGACCAAAATTACTCCAGTTGATATAAAACATAAAAAAAGAAGCTTAAGAGTTCACATTTTTCTTTGATTAGTTGCATCTCGTAATGTAATGTTTTTTTATACTTCATTAACCCTTTTGCAATGGGTGAGTCTTAACTATACATCACGTTTTTTTAGTTATTTTCAAAATTTAATAAAATACTATTTTCTCTTTATGCAGTTATTTTTAAAGATAATTTTAATTACTTTTTTGCATCTTAATTGCTCTATAAACAAGGTTTAACTATATCCTGGAGTAGTGAATTCACAGTATTAACTTTTCGTGTGATGAAAACCATTCAAAAGTAGCCACTAAGAAAGATTATTTAGTTAAATGATGTATTAATGTCACTGTATCATTGAAAAGCACATTTAATTAACTATCCTCATTACCATGATGGTTTTTAGTAGGTAGCTTACTTTGAATTATACACTGGTATCATATGTGAAGGGTTCTTCAACGAAATTAAACACTTTGGATCTGAAATCAAGATTTTTGAAGGGAATCTTTTCTTGTAAGCTGACTTCTAAAGTTGTAAAAAACAGTTTCCATCGTGGCAGGTAGTAGCTGAGAAAAGAATGGCTGTTACGATGAAAAGAACTTTATATTTTAAACAATGTTAGTTATTAGTTTTCTCCTTAACTTCTTTGTCAATCATTTTTACATCCTAAACCACTCATAAAATCTCTAATATTGGGACCAGTGTTGATTTATTTTTTTATTTTGTAAAAGAATACTCATCAACGTTTTCATGCCTTCATTGTAATGAATAATCTACCCTTTTCCCCAAAGCCCTATTCTTAACATACCTTTAAGGAAAGTAAAGATATGTAAATGTGTGTCTCAGGTTGGTTGACAAATTGTAGATCATTTTCAAAAAAATAATCTAGAATTTCCCCTAGTGTGAAAATTGTGACATTTTCTCTACGCATCCCCTCTTCTCTAATTTATTTACTACCCCTCCAACAAGTACAAAATTTAACAAATTTCTTATTATAATATTGTCATCGCTCAGGCAAAGCATAATTTTCATAGCCTTCAATCTTATTTGATTACAGAACTATGAAATACACAACCATACCCTTCTTACCACACTCACTCTCTCAGAAATCGCCAATAGTTCTCACTGATGTTCAATGCTATAGTATTTATAACCAATAGAAAGCCAAGGTTTATATCTATCAAATGATACATTATATAACATTGTTAAGAGAATTGTCAGCTTTGCTTTCAGTTCAAGCTCGAACTGAACAGGAAACACATCAATGAGCTTTGATGAAGATTTAATGGCTCTTGTGACCGTTAAAAAAACAGAAAAATAGTGATAGTTATGGGACATTGTCTGCTTTTTGCATGTTATTATTCTGTGTTCTTTGGTGCATTATCAAATTAAATAAACTATTAAATTCAGTACTACCATTAGTATAAAAAGTAGGGCTAAGGGTCATCAACAGTTGACAGGAAAAAAAAAAATTAGAGCCTAGTCAGTACTGCATTATTTATTTATTATTATAAAAATAACTAAAATGTATAATAAGCAAACTTTTTATGTTAGTTAAGGTTAGATTAGGTGAAATAAATAATACAATTTTTTCATGAAGTATGCTCGTAGGCGACTTGTGTGTAATGTGGGCTGCACATTCACTAAGTTACTTACAACTTATAATGGCATGAATAGTAGCATGACTACTATTCATGGTTCAAAGGGAAATAAAACAATAAAATTTAATTATAAATAGATGTATACTGTTACGAGTTTAAAGCTACTTAGAATAAACAAATGTAGTTCTATGTTCCAAACTGAAGTCGTTCCCTCCCAAAAAAGGGGTAATTTCAATTTTTATTTTGGTGGTTACAAGGTCAGTCAAATTGACCAACCTTGTACAGAGTTAGGGTAGAGAAGATATAGTTTTACTGAGAAAAAAAATGTTTAAAATTTAATTAGAAGGTTTTGTAGAGTATGCAAATAAAATTTGAAATTTTTGAGGTGAAGAAAAGTATTTTTAATCTCAACATGAAATCATTTATCACTGGGGCGAATATATCGAAATAGTATATATATATATATATTGAGGAACAAATCTTTTTTAAAAATACTTAATTAAAAAATCTATTGTTTGTGTACAAAAGACTTGTAATATTTACTAAAAGTCTGCCAAATTTTGTAACGATACATAAAGTGTATTAAGATTTATAGTATGGAAACTATAATGAGTACAAAAGCGGCTACGAGGTCAGTCGATTTGATTGACCGTTGTGAGATAGTTAATAGGTTCAGTTGGAGACTTGCATAAAATGACAAACTAATCTAAATATCCAACTTCAATCACAGGTAAGGATGTATGTAAAAGAGGGGGCCAAACCTTCAGATTTTAGCAGCCAGAAATCACTACATTCAATTTAGTTAACTTAATGTTTGGATCATCATATTACAACATAACCGAGAACAGTAAACTTGGTGTAGATAATCAAATGTTGCTACTGCAGTAAATATTTTCTTAATATTAACCTTGTAGTTAGGGCACTTCACCAGAACATTCAATTTCCCTAATCACTGGTAAAGAGTTGGAGGTACGTGCTGCCAGTGAACCATAGCAGTTTTGTCATAAACACGGAAAATTAACAAACGACCAGAGAAGTAACAATATTTTATGTTTGAATTGTTTCAAAATTCGTGTGTTGAAACTTGTTTGTCAAGGCTGCTATTCATTATGATGTATTTAATCTACTATAGGTGGAGATGTGTACACATGGGGGAACAGTGGTGGGGGTAGACTAGGAGACCCAAGCATCGCTGGTTATGGACCCTCTAAGATCTCTGTGTTACCACGTGGAGGTGGTAGGAATATTGCTACTGCTGTGTCCTGTAGTGGAGCACACACCCTACTGGCTACCAGGGTAAGTACTTCTCAGTGATACAGTCTCTGATAGAATAAAACTTACTGGCTGTACAAGGTATTAAAAGTAGTTCTCTTCATCAGGAATTGAAATATTTTGATATTTGTTCAGCAAATACTGTATTTGTGTGTATAAAGTAAATGTTGTTAAATGTTTTAGAATTATCTGTGATCTTACTGATTAACATAACAAGCCACAGTTACATAATTCAGCTATTCTATAAGACTTGTTCTCCATAGAATAGCATGACAAACACGGGACCATGGTTTGCTAAGAATCTATTGTTGTCATTTTCTAATGTGTTGTAGAGTAATGAGTTTAATTTTTATTGCTATTTTTTATACAATTTTACACTTCCCCAAATGGGTCATTTTGTGATATGAAAACTAAAGACCTCCAGAGATCATCCTCCACCTATGTTCGTTTATGTTAGGCTTACAGTAGTTGTGTTTTCTAGTGGATCCCAACTGTTTTAAATACGTTACTTGTAATGTAAAGACAAGCAGAAATGCCCGCCCCCTGGGCAGGTATAACTCCTAGTTCCTGCAGAAAGCCATTGGGCCTGTGGCCTTTTTTGGAATTGTCCGACAATTCTACAACAATGTACTCATACTTGAAACAGGATTTTATTGAAGTATTTCTTTGTAGACGAAGTTATCAATGAAAGTGCCTTGCTTTTCTGTTGCAACACTTGTGAGATTATCACTAAAGAAAACATATTTTTTTAAGTTTATATTTTGAAACTCTTTTTTTGTAATTTTTATTGGTTAAATCTGAAACATATAATTTTTGTGGAAATTTTAATTGTTTTATTTATTTCTCATCTATAAAAATACTGCCTAATTATAAAAATATTACCCAGTTATCATTGGTGTGGTAGTTTCTGAGATCTGAGTTTTGGACGTATATATATCGCAAGCTCCATTATAATAATATATGGAGGGTTAATTTGATGAGAAACTCACTTTTTAGAAAAATTTGAAGATGATTTGAATGGGCAGTGAAGGAAAGTTTATTACAAATGAATCACATTTTTGATAAGCTTATGTCATCATCCAGTGAGGAATTACAAGCTTGTCAGACTTTTGTACATTTGTAACGAAGTTTCTTTCATTACCCATTCAAGCCATTTTCAATATTTATATGGAGAGTTAGAACCATAGTTATCTAATAAAGTTTTTGTAACTGGAAACGATTTGAATCAAACACAACTACATATTTGTAAAGTAAAATATTTTCTTAGTACTTACATTGGAAAACAGGAGTTAATATTGAATATACTTGCAGACAGGTGAACATTAAAGAATACTTTGTCGATGTACAATATTAGATTTTTACCTCAATGTCTCACAAACATAATAGACCCAGTAAGGTGCATTATCATATTAAATAAAATCCAACAAATAACAATTGGAAATAAGAATAATTAGAAGTATATATGAAGTTTCATTTTGGGTTCTTAAACTTCTCTTCAGTGTCGGAGAATGTTTATTAAAAAATGTTCTTTTACATTTCAGTGTATGAAGAGACTTGATCGAACTAGCCCTGAACTGTAATGTCCTGTTTTGCATAACTTACTAATGAGAAATATGAAAGCAACTGGAGAAAATAAAAAAACAAACAAACATTATGGTCTTCCTAAAGGCTTTATACAAGTACATTTTTTGCTGTATAATGAGATTCTAAAGCTAGAATTTAAACCAACAATGGTTTTATCTTACACTCAGTATGAAAATATAGTGTTTAAAGATACTGTAACGTGAAGTCCTAGCATAGGGGTTCCATTCTTAATTTTTAGCTTTTATACCAATTTTAATTTCTGAGTTTTGAGTAAGGTGTCAGTGATCCATATCTCACAAAAAATAAAATAAAATAAAGGCCATGGCATACAAACAATGAAATTTAAGGGCATTATAAATCAAAGGAAATAGTTAATAATGTGTCATTTATTTGAATAACATTTCATGTGTGTATGGAAATTCTACTATGTGCAATAGCAGCAGGTTGTAATTTGACTGAGGGTACTGGTACTAAATGTAAATGACTGGGAAATTTGAATAGCTGTTATGAGGTTAGACTCGGTATTCCTGAGGGCTGTTTCTATTATATGTGTTACAACTGGAAAGAAAGAACAATGAAACAGATATTTTACCTCGCTAATAAAGGATTATACAAAATGTAGCACCTAATAACATTAAAGCAAATTTCAAAAAAGCACTAGAAAAAAAAAGATTTGTTCTTTAAATCATCCTCAGATGCAGCAATACATGGTTGTTTTTTTTTTAGATTGCTGTTTCCACACCAGGTGCTGCACTGATCTGATCAATGGTAGGTACTTCTTGCACAAGTCAGCAGACAGTTTAATTGAGTCTCCTATGTAAGACAATCAGATGAATACTTAAAAGAAACACTTACAATAAAGTTTCAATTCAAATATGGTACCACATTCTGCTAACACAGACATATTTTGTTACTGTTTAAACTAAGTATCATAAAAACATGAATCATTAATATAGATGTTTTTTTTTCTTTTGCCTAGCAACTTCTAAACAAGTTCAAAAACTAGGTCTTACTTCATTGAAACTGAACTTTGACAACAATGGCTCCACCAAGCAAAAATAATATTTGTGTTATTTGCTGTTATCAAATAATTTAACACTTAAAAATTTGAAATAGTGGTTTATCCAGAACAAAAAACAAAATGAGAAACACATACTGGCTACTGTTTGTTTATATTTTAACATGGTAACATTTCCAACCCAGTACTTAGTGTTTGGTTGGTTCGGGAAGAATTTATTTGAGAAAGAATAAACTAGTTTTATTTAAGAAAGGACTTGTATCGCTGAAGTTCCTTATAACTTGCAATACACAGAATTTCCACAGTCACTTTAACTTAAACACACGCTATAATTCACAATGATTAAAGCACTTTACTTACGGTCACTACCGCTCGCTTGACTCAGTTATCTTTCTCTATATCTCTCTATCTGCTATTATTTCTCCGCTTTATTTGCCGGGCTTATATACAAAAAAAGAGGGCGCCTAGAAAAGACAAGAGTTGCCAGGAAAGGTCAAGATCGTTCGAGAATATCATGACGTGTTACCAGCGTCACGTGACTTCCGCTGTCGTAACAATATATATACATATAAAATTAAAATGTCCTAGCCCACCATGGTTATCGAAACCCGGTTTTTAGCTATATAAACCTTCAGACTTACCGCTGAGTCACTAAGGGGGATATAAAATAAATAAAAATTAAACTGAGATAAAATATTTAACAAAATTAATTGATTCAATATAAGCTTTATATATTTGAGTACTGGCATTTTCTAAATCTCAAATGACTTGTCTTGTTATATAACTCCTCCTATAAAAATTATAAAATCTAATCTTTTAGAATTTTTTTTTGTTTGTATATTGTTAAGCGCAATGGGCTATCTGTATTGTGCCCACTGTGAATGTCGAAACCTGATTTTGACCATTAGAAAATCCTTAGACTTATCACTGTAAATTTGTATGCCATTTCATATTTTAACTCATTTAAAGAATATTAAAAATAAGATTTGATTATAATATGCTTTTGTTGTTGTAGAACCTTAGCATATGTTCTGTTATCCCTGACGTTAGAAAAAACACGTAGGTTTAAGAATATATTTAACACAAAGATACGATACTCTATAACCCAAGCATTTTCGAAAGGTCCACCTTTCAAAAGCGCTCGGGTTATAATCTATCGTATCTTTGTATTGTGTTATTTCTGTTCATTGGTGAATTTTGAAACTTAACCTTTTCCTTCTTTATATTTCAGACGTAATTTATAACTCAAATGATAGTTATCGCCCCAATTACACACTTTATTTGGTCTCGTTGTAAAATAAGAGTTTTAACATTATGGTCTTCTGCACAGCTTACACATTTTATACATCTTGTACATCGAACTGCCATATTTCCAAAAGCCCAGCATTTGTAACACTGTACTATAAGTAAAGGTTTTTGATACACTTCAATTTTATAATACAAACATTCAACACTAAGTCCATTTTTAATCAAATCATTGGCTTGTTATTCATTTGTCAAAATATCTTAATAGAATTGTTAATTTCGTGAATTCTTTTCCTTACAATACTTTCAGCTTTTTCAAGTTCTATACCATGCATTTCAGTTCTTCAGTTACATTTTCCAATCTAATGCTACAATTTAAATCTTTTACCACGATAATCTTTTGTCCTGGTGTTGAATATAGCAGCTTTTGTCCTGGTGTTGAATATAGCAGTTTTTGTCCTGGTGTTGAATATAGCAGTCTTAGATGTAATTCTTCTCGGTTAAAAATTTCCGTTGGCCATGTAGTTAGAAATTTTCTAATATTTTAATTGATCTTTTATTTTAATAAATCCAGTATTCTTCAATCTCTAGTTTGTATTTATTTTAGCATTTGAAAATACTTTTTGATTTTTCTACAGAATTTTATCTTATTATAATTTGTAGGTATACCTTCGACTATTACCAGAGGTAAGGCCGTGTTGTCTTATATTGTTTTTCCTTTTTGTTGTAATAGTTTTCCATTCATTTTTTGTTTGTTTTACTTTGATGTATTTGAGGTGTTTATTGAACTCTTGGTATTTTAATTTTTACAGCCAGTCAAGCTCATCCGCTACAGTAACATAATTGAAATCATGATCTCATGCACCTTTAGTTTTTCAAAGCTTTTGTTAACTACTTTACTTACTTTCGTGTTGTTGTTTTTATTTCTTTTTAATAAACATCAATTTGACTGACTTGACATATTGGTATCACGTATACTGCCATCTGACTGATTATATTCAGTGTTAAGCCTTACGGTCAATTTTAAGTTCAACAGTAATTCTCTACCAAAGTTATACAAATATTTTAATATTCTTTTAAGAGCTCGAAAGGTGCTTAATATAAAAAATGTATGAATTAAAATGGAACTGATATATCAATTAACATGAAATATTAAAAGTACAAAATAACTGGATTAGTTCCTATCCTGTACGACTAAAGAAGGTATCGAGTCGTAGCACACATTAACGGAGATATTCACAACACGGTCTTATCGCTTTCAGTGCAGGATTGGAAGAAATGTTTTTGAGGATTATTACAGGTTCCATTCACCAAGCTCTCCGTTACGGCCACGTTTCAGCAGTATTTCACGTGCACAAATAACTTATCCAATTTGACCTGATGGAGATCTGCGCTACAAGCTCGAAACATCGTCCAGAAACTTCTAAAACATATACAGTCCACCAAGTTTTCATATCTAGTATTTCGTATTTTTGACCTAAACGGTACTTTATGCTGCACTTGAGCTAAACGGCCTGGTCATGGGCCACAAAAGTTAGCCATTGCGGTACCTAAATTAGAGCTGCTAACTGGAGTAAGGCAATCAGTCCTATCACCCTTTGCTTTCGTAGCCATTCTTAACTGAATAGAGGGATTGACTGTTACAATAATACCCCACAGCTGAAAGTGTGGAACGTGTTCAGTTGCATATTGCCTCTAGAACCTTCGATCATATGCCCGGCATGCTAACTACTAAGCCACATCTTGCTTTTTCTTCATGTCTGAAATTCACTGTAGATAGTGCAACACTATCAATATGTAAAAACACTTTATTTCTGATCATTAGTAACTTATTGTCAAAGCAAGTTATCAGTACAAATCAGAACGACAAATTAACCTAGTAAATAATTTATAGAATGTTTTCACTAGGATTATGCAATATCATAAAACAAAACTTTCAAAGATAGGTTATTTGTTTAAGAATTTTCGTGCAAAGCTGCACCAAGTACTATATACGTATAACTTACCCTAATTTTGAACTGACAGACTAGGGGTATACTTTCTTCTGACCGAAAAGTGCGATTTGGCCGTTCACCTACGTCCTCAAAATGCAGAGCATGTTTTTGCGGAAAGGACCGCGAACCATGGACCTTTGGATACATAGTCCGAGCACATTTATCACTGCAATCATTAGAATACATTTATTCAATAGTTAGGTACCCTTGCTTTTATTGATATCTTCGGCCATAATCCCAATAATATCTCACGAAATCCGGTCATCTTAGGAGATTTAGGTTGGACCTGAATCCCTATACTAAACTAATAATGCAAATCAATCTCCATAATTGGCAGAATAAGTAAATATATAAGTACACAATTAGAAATATTAAACATCCCAACCAATACTACTAAAAAAACTTATATTAAATAAATAATAGAATAGAACTTTATTTACCAGACACATACTGTGATACAAGGCGTCTGCTTCATGCACTATCAGTGATTCTTTGTTTCTAGAAAAGCGCAAGACTGTCTGATTCCTCTAACAACGCATGTGATCAATGAAAGCCAATTCTTCGTTAAAAACATATTAGCACCGGTTTTATGAACGACATTCCATATTTAATTATTAAGAGCTTCTAATGAAAAGTGCCCCCCAGTGGCACAGCGGTATGTCTGCGGACTTATACCGCTAGAAACCGGATTTCGATACCCGTGGTGGGCAGAGCACAGATAGCCCTTTGTGTAGCTTTGTGCTTAATAATAAACAACAACAACAATAAACAACTAATGAAACGTAAGTTAACATATATAATACAAAAAATAATTTATATATTGATTTAACCAATCTTGTATAACAAACTGACTAGAATTACTTATTGTAAAAAATAAAAACAGAATAAAACTAAAACCTATATTGGTTAGACTTCTTTGAATTACCAGCTTGGTTAGTCTCATTGTTATTTTTAGTCATAACCTCAATTATATCTCGCGAGACTCAGCCAGACTGAAAGACTTAGATTAATCTTTAATTCAATACACCAAGTCACCAATGCAAAATAATCTTTGT